CTTTTCGCATTTGCGATCATAACAACTGAGGTTAGCTTTACGATTCATTTTGTAGTTTTTAATTTTTGAAAAATCAAAAATCCAAAAAGATTTTATGTTTATTCATTTTCGTTTTTGAAAAATTAAAAATCCAAAAAGATTTTATTTTGTTATGTTTTTAATTTTGAAAAATTCAAAAATCACAAAAATATTTTTGTTTTCTTTGTTCTTTAAAGATTGTGTGTTGAGAGTTTAGTACAGGGCTTAATGCGAAGAGGTCTTGCTTATATGTTTCTATGGGAAGGTATTAATTTCTTTTAAAACTAGTTAGGATGTCCCTAGAAGCATGCTGCTGTATGTAGACCAAAAGCCTCAACAAGACTCTATGTGTGAGAAAAGAAAGCCTTAATGAAATTATCACATGAAAATTTCTTCCCAAAAGGCTTATATTCGCATAAGTCAAAAGAGCTACCTTACTCTTCTCAAAAGAGTTAAGAGTTTTCTATTTTGTCCATTATAACAGAGGTACACTTCGATTCTTAACCAATCTTTTAATACCAAACAAATTTTTCAATCCAAATTTTCGAAGAGATTTGTCCTTGAGGTCTTTGATCAAACCAATCAAAACCTAGACAAATCACAAGTCTGTGTTTATGATATTACATCATGAGACCGTGATGGAAGTGAAACCTAAACATCATATACCTTAAGAAATTGATGGGGAACATCGTTCCAGATTTTAACGAAACCTTTGTTTCAGTATCAAAATTTGGAAACTCCAAATCATATTCAATTCGCATGTGTGGTCTTTATCAAATATTCGCAACCCACGATGTTTGTTACCCAACAAGATCCAGAACAAATTTTTTTGAATATGATTTATGTGTGAGTTTTATTCGCAAATCCTAGTCATGATAAATATTTTCAAAAGCCAACTTGCCACTGACTACACTGGTCAAACAAGTAATTTCATTTAAAATTTCTCACCTTATGTTAAGGTTGATATGTAATGAAAGTTAAAACCAATCCAAAATATCTTTTAAAAGAAGCCCTTCGATACTTATCTAAGAGTATTCGATTGTAATTCACGGGAAACTACACAAGCTGTTGAGTGTCTCTCTTGATGATTAACGAAGCAACCTTTGCCTGGGGTTTAATTGCATTCATGTCAAATTGAATTTTTGACATCACAAAATTCCAAAAAAAAATTGTTTTGTTTCTCATCTTATTCTGTTGACACAATGCACACACGAAATCCTTGAGGTTCTGAGTAAAACCAACTCAGGCTGATGATTTCGCAATTCTGGCATATGAATTCACTTTACATCCCAAAAGTGAAAGAGCTTTGCCTCCATGCGAAGGGTTTTAACGGTTCAGATTCTATAACGGGAAACTTGACAGGCTGTGTACTCAAGATGGTTGGTATTCTATCCGGTTTTCAAGGAGATGTGACAGTTACTTTTAGAAGCATGGTTATCTTTTGCAATCATGATCTGATTTTCAAGGTGCCACATCAGATAACATTAAATGCATCCCGCTTTAATTTCAAATCAATTTGGGTAAACTATAAAAGGGGGATCAAGAACACTATATACAGTTACGCAAACAGAACTCTCACAAACCTCCAAAGATTCAAACTTGATCAAACTTTATCTCTTTCAAACCCTAACAATGGCGGCCACTCAATCCAACACTGATGAAGTTCTTTCTCAATCCCTGATGAAAATCCAAAGCACCAATTATGAAGTTGATCCAAATGTCTCTTCTTATCTCAAAGGCTTGAAGATGCTCATCGTTGCCCTGAAACGATCACCCCTGTCGACTGCCATCTTTAGTTCATTCTCCATTCCGATGACATGGTTATCCTTGGCAGCTTCAACGACATCATACAACCATACAACTGATGTGATAACCTTCAACTTGATAAACAACAAACGGGTAAAACTTTCCAAGAAGATGTTTGTTGAATTCTTGTAGATTCCAAACAATCCTCCATTTTTAAAACCTGTTAACCCTCAAATCATTCACATGTTCAATGAGATGGGCCATCAACCAGAGCTTGAGAAGATAAGTGACTTTCGAAAGTCTAGGTTGCCGTGCATATGGAATTTCTTGTTTGGTATTTTTCTCAGATGCCTAACAGGATGCACAGTTGGTTTGGATAGGGGACGAATGGAAGTATATGCCATGGTTATGGGCTTGTACTATGACATCAGCGTCGATATGCAACCAAGTTATGGAAGGAATTTATTAAGAGTCTCGAAAACACAAATTCTAAAAAAGGGATTTCGTGTGCGAGGTATTGGAGCTTAATTTTGGAGAAGGTATATGAAAAAGAAGGGATTCCAGTAACGAAGGATGTTGAAGTTGTTGAATTTTCTCTATATCAATTTCCGAAGGTAGTGGAAGATGATGAGAAAATTTTTACTCATGTTGCTCGCATTCCAGATGCGATGCTTCGCAAGGTCTCTCAAACTCACAAGGTCTTGGTGAGATATTTGAAAACAATTGATCAATCGGTGCCGACTGGAGTGTTATTAGATGTTGCTGCACCATCAAAGAAGAAGAAGTCTACAAAGAAGGATGCGAAAGGTCCATCTTCGCAACAGGCTCAGGATGAAGATGTTCATATTGAAGAGACTTCATCTCAATCGAAGAAAGAAACAATACCTTCCAAGTCTAGGGTATTGAAAAAGATTCGCAAGACTGAGGTGAGCAGTAAAGGGGTTACCATTCGCAATATTCCAGCTCCGGTCTCTCTAGGAAAGAAAAGGCAAAGAGCTGAAGACGTTGCGAAAAACATGCAACGTACTCTAATAAAAAGACGGAAGCTGGTGGTTCGCAATGAATCATCTGATGAAGAGATAGTTCCAAAAACTCCACTGGTGTCGTCTACGGTAAATGTTTCCTTACCAATCATTTCCATTACCCCTACTTCGCAAATATCTACCACAACACCACTCATAGAACCACTCGAAATAGTCACTACCAAATCAGTTTCTGAGGAGGTACCTATTTCTGATATGGTTGTCAACGTATCTGATACGGGAGCACCTATCACGAGTATTGCAACCACTTTACCAATCACCTTACCCATTTCTTTACCACTTGTTTCATTTCCATCTACAACTCTATCCACAACCTCATCAATTTTTTATCATCCACTTCAAAACCCATTTACAACCCTTTTTCCCTCACAATCACCAGAAACTCCTCAACCTTCACAAACTTTATCTGATAATGAAACTGAAGGAGGAGCCTTTGGAGGAGTACTTGAAGACATTCATTTTGATTCAGAGGAGGAGGATATTCCTGATCATATGCTTATGACAGGAAAGCAATTTAAAATCCTGAATCATAAGTTGAATGCCATTATTCAGTAGCAAGCTGATTCTGGCAGGATGTCTTCTATCTTAGTAATGGAGGTTGATATAATGCTTAAAGGTGATGAGAAGCATATAATGGAGAAGGTTGATCAGTCTGATAAAAATAATGAGCTTCGCATTAAAGCTCAAGGGAGTAATTTTTCTTTAGTGGTCCAGGACTTGAAAACAGTTGCAAAAGAACGTCATGTTCTTTTTGTACAGGATGTGAAGAAAGTTCGGGAGGATGTCAACTTTAAGCTTCAAGAGTTGAAAACCGAACTTGCGAAGGAGCTCAGGGATATTAATTCTCAAAATGTCGAAGTTCAAAAGAAGATTGATGTGGTTGCTACAGAAGTACAAAAGGTTACTGCTGTCCCTATCCTTGAAGCTAATAACAAAGAAACCCAGGAGAAGTTTGATCAGCTGATCAAGTTGGTAACTGAGCTGAAAACTATGGTTTCGCAATCTTCATCTACACAAATTCTCACTCTTGAGTTCTTGTCTCTAAGGGTTAATACTTTAGAACAAGCAATTCAAAAAGCTCTTGCACCAATCGCAAATTTTACCTCTTTACTATCGAAAAGTGCCCCACCTGCTTTCACAGGGGTGGAAGGGGGAGAGAAGCATTCAAGTAAAGAGAATGATGCGAAGACATTGGGAAAAGTTATATTTACCCAGCTTAGGGGGTGTTTGGCCTGACTTTTAAAATAACTTTTGACTTTTTCTTTTAGGAAAAGTCCCAAAAGATGTTTGGTAAACTGAAAATAACTTTTCTAATCAACTTTTGCAACAGAGTAAAATGGGTCTTTTTGAAAAGTTACAAAAGCGTGACTTTTTCTAACTTTTCAACAGGTAAAACCATTAATTACCATTATACCCCACCTACCCTAATCAATTCACAGTATCCTCACACGAATCTCTTGTTCTCTCCGCTCACGCTTTCTTCTCTCTTGCAGCTTGCTCGATCGATTTGCTGACCGGCGATCTTGCTGACCGGCGGTCTTCCTGCTGCAACGCCGGCGGTCTTCCTCTTTTCCGTCTCCATCGCCGACAAGTAAGTTTTCTTCTTCTTTTCCAGTCGATTTCCAGTGCTTGTACAACATCTTTCTGTCGATTTTACAATCGATTTTACTATATCTTGCTGTCGATTTCCAATTTTCAGTAGCAAAGACATGTGGTTTTTCGATTTTCCTTGAAGTGTTCTTCTCTCTCTCGCTGTTCGCTGTCTCGCATCTGCTGTGAACATACTTTTGTGAAATTGATGAAATATGGATGAAATATTGATTAATAATTAGTGAACTTGATAAAATATGGATTAATAATTAGAGAAATTGATGAAACATGAAGCTGATAGAAATTTTTTGTTTTGGGATTGTGTTAACAGGTAACCAATTTCTGTGATATTATGTTTATCTGTTTTGTTTCGAATTTTGATAAATGAATGAAATCATTTAGTAGAAATTTTTTGTTTTGGGATTGTGTTAACAGGTAACCAATTTCTGTGATATTATGTTTTCCTGTTTTGTTTAGAATTTTGATAAATGAATGAAATCATTTAGTAAGGATAATGAAATTGGTTTGTTGTTTAAATGTTGTACTATATGTAATTCACAGATAATGGATGAAAACAACACTACAATTGTTGATTGTGAAACATCTTTGAAAATGAAAAAACCAAAATTTGGGTGGGATAATCGTACCTTCATGGTGTTTGTTGATTCATGCTTGATTGAAAAAAAAAGGGGCGTAAAGCCACCGGCTCCTTTGATAAAGTTGGGTGGGAAAATATACAAAAACGCATTAAGGAGAAAACAGGTTACATGCTTGAAAAAAAACAACTAACAAACAAATGGGAGAACATGAAAAAAGAGTGGAAGCTTTATGACCGCTTAATGAGGCTTGAAACCGGACTCGGTGGGACGAGAAGCCTAGTAGATGCGTCGCCTGAGTGGTGGGAGGAGAAAATAAAGGTATGATTACTATTCTTTCTAATTATTTTAAGTTATGATTACATATAGATTGAACATATTTAATTTATAATATCTTTGTGTTTTGTAGGAGAATAAAGATTATGCCAAATTTAGGAACACAGATTTGAGCATATTTGATGAGAAATATGCTACTTTGTTTCGGGATTCTGTTGCCGTTGGAGATCAGACTATGACTCCGTTACAATTTCAAAACAATAGCAATCCAAACGAAGAAAATATTGAGGGCAAAGGAGATAGTGATGAAATCAATTTAGATGATGATGAGCCTCTTTTTCCTAGTCTCCATGAAAGTAGTTCAAGTAAAAGGAAGAGGTCTAAGTCTGTTTCCAACAACCGTCCAAGCAAGAGTAAAAATTCAATTTATGAAGAAAAAGTTGATGCTTTATTGGATGCCATATCATCAAAAAGCACACAAACTTATCCACAAAATAATCCTTCCCCAACAATAGCAGATTGCATGGCCATTGTCATCAAGTTTCCCGAGTTTCGTGAAGGGTCCAACGAATTTTCACAAGCATTGCTTGTCTTCACCAAAAAACAAAATCGTGAAGCTTTTATGTTTCCAACGACCGACGAAGCCAAGATGGAGTTTCTTAAGTTACTTATGAAATAATGATTTAGCAATATGTGTTATGCTTTGACATTTATATTTTATGTTTTGACATTATGTGTTGTCCTTTGACATTATGTATTTGACATTTTATATTATGTGGTATTGTTTGTCTTTATGTATTTGACATTTTATATTATGTGTTAATGGTTGACATCTTTTTATTTATATTATGTAGGATGGATAGTGATGATTCTAATTCATCCGATGATAGTGAACAATGTTGGGTGGAAGAGGATAGAGAATTTGAAATGTTATGCGGATTAGCTTTGAAAGGGATAATGATCGCTCGTAACTTACGTACGCCATGTCACACTTCAGACCGCACAGGGCACATGTTTATTACTGAAGTACTAAATGGCCATCCTAGACGTTGTTATGAGATGTTTAGACTCAACGTACCGGTTTTTAGACAGTTATGCATAGATCTTACTACAAATTACGGGCTACAACAAACACGAAATGTATCTATGGAGGAGTCTGTAGGAATATTCTTGATGACTTTGGCTCATGGGTGTAGCAATAGATTTGTGCAAGAATTTTTTAATCATTCGGGGGAAACGATTCACAGACATTTCCACACAGTTTTGGAAGCCGTACTAAAACTGAGTGCCGACATCATCAAGCCAGACACAAACTATAATGATGATGTTCCCGAATATATATTAAATAAGCCTCGGTATTATCCAATGTTCAAGGTATTATCCAGTGTTTATTATCTTGGTAGTCAAACTTTAACAAATAATTTATTTATGATATATTTCTGAATTTGAAGGATTGCATTGGTGCTATAGATGGGACACACGTCAGGGCATCGGTTCCACAAAAAGATGAAGTGAAGTACATTGGTCGAAAGGGATATGCAACACAAAATATAATGGCTGTTTGTGATTTTAACATGTGCTTTACATTTGTTTGGGCCGGTTGGGAGGGGACTGCACATGATACAAGAATTTTCAATGAAGCCTTACAGAGACCAGATCTTAATTTTCCTTATCCAACGGGCGGTTAGTATTTTTTTTGAAACACAAGTTTTATGTTTTTACTACTTGTTTGAAAAGAATAATAAATGTTTGTTTTATTTACAGATAAATATTACGTTGTTGATGCCGGATATCCAAATACGAGAGGGTATCTTGCTCCATACAAAGGCACAAATATTCGTTATCATTTACCAGATTTTCGACGTGGACACACGGCTGCTATTCGTGAACCTCGTGGACCGAAAGAGAAATTTAACTATCTCCACTCATCATTGCGAAATATCATTGAACGAACTTTTGGAGTGTGGAAAGCTAGGTGGGCGTTATTAAGAGACATGCATGTTAATTACAAGTACAAGAACCAAGTGAAAATTGTGATAGCATCGATGGCGATCTATAACTACATTAGAAAGGTTGGTAGGTCTGATGAAGCGTTTAATAGGGCACAACAAGAATCCTACAATCCCGTACGAGGTGATACTGATAGTGATGTTTACGAAGAAGGTCCAAGTACACGTCGCACGAGCGATGGTGATTTATATATGGCAGCAATACGAGATATTATTGCACAAGATATAATCACATTGCGAAGATGAATGTAATGTTATCTATGATATTTTTTTATGAATTATTTACAATTTGTATGAACGTAATTTTAATATTGTCATGGTCTAATCTAAAAAAATTAGAAATATTTTAATTTGTATGAACGTAATTTATATTTTATATTTGTATGAACGTATTTTTAATATTGTCATGGTCTAATACAAAAGATCCTCTTATGAATTATTTACAATTTGTATGAACTTAGTAATTTTATATTGTCATTCTCTAATCCAAAAAATTACAAATATTTAAGAAAAAAAATTATATTTTATATTTTCTAATAAAATGTTTATAAAATTATAATATGTGTTTAAAAAAAATATTAAGTATAAAATAATATACGTAAAGTAGTAAATCAACGTAAATGTGTAAACATGTCCTTTTTAGTCATTTTACATGTAAAAGTTAAACCAAACACTTTAACTTTTGACTTTTTACCTTCAAAAGTTAATCCAAACACTTTTTTAAAAATAACTTTTGTAAAAAGTTCTTTTACAAAAAGTCCTTTTACAAAAAGAACTTTTGCCCCACAAAAGTTAATCCAAACACCCCCTTAAAACTACTATTCCCATACTTACGAAGCCAATTTCCTCAACTACAATAACCACAAAACCGATTGCCAAAGGAATTTCTATTAGGGAAAAAGAAGGAGGTTCAAGTTCAAAACCTCAAACAGATGTAGTGGGAAAAGGAAAAGGGATATTGTATGAAAAATCGAAGGAGGAGAAGAAAGCTGAGGCTAAGGTAGAGTTGGAAAGGATGAGGCAAGTACAAAGCATCATGAGGCAAAGGGCAAGTGATCCTCCCACGATGAACAAAGGAGTTCCTGCGAAGCTGTACTCTTACGAAACCATAGAGTCAAAAGTTGTGGGGAGGGAAATGTATGAATTCGAGAAGAAGCCAAAGAGAAGTTATGATATTGCGAATTCAGACAATTGTCAGCTAGATTTTCCAATCAATGAAATGCTCTTCATTACTGCTCAGTACAAGATTAGCGAGAAGTTTGATACTCCTGATGATTATATACACATGAAAATCAGATTTCATGCTGTATTGGGGAAGAATCCGGATGAAGTTTGGTCTTTAATGAAGATAAAAAAAGGTGTTAACAATCAAGAAAGATACAATGTTTGAAGACATGCTTCAAAATTTCCGTTATTCTGTTATTCGAGCAGACAACAAGCAGTATGACTTCACTGTAGCTGATTTTCCTCTGATGAACTGCAACGATTTGATTCAAGTGGCTCTGATTTTGAAGTATATGGAAGAGAATAAGCTAAAAGGCTCTGAGACTGAAGCGTTCAAGATAGGCTTCGCACATGTTAAGACATACATCAACAATTACTTCGATTGTTTGGCTCTTACTGATGAAGAATTGGCGACTGTAGTAGGAAGAGAAGTGAATGTTCCTTGGGAAGAAACTTTATCTCAATCAGCATTATCAAAATATGTTATTGGGGAAATATGCCTGAAACCTTTCGGCATGGTGTTTTCAGGAAGAGATACAAAGGGGAAGCCCAAGAAATTCTTGTTTAAAGTCTCTGAGGTGGAAAGATATACTTTTTCGCAATATAGGCACTTTATTGTTTGTATGAACAATTGCAAGAAGAACAATGAAGGAGACAAGAAGGATCTCAAGAAGGTGATTTCCTGGTATGGAGAAGTGCGAAAGACAATTCACTCTGTTGTTCAAAAGCTTATGGATTGAATAGTTTCGACTGTTTACAAAGGGGGAGATTGTAGAAGCAAAATTGTAAAAGTCGAATATTGTGTTTGTATAGTTTCGCATCTTTATGTTATTTTACTAAGTCAATTTTGTGCGACGTGTAATGTTTAGACTTAGTATATTTTTTGTACACTCATGTTCTCTATAAATAGGGACTGAGGATAGAAGTAGAAAGAAGTTTTTTTTCCGGAAACACAAATATCCTTTCTGTTTATTCTGTAATCAGTCTTCATCAATATAAGATCTGATTAATATTTACTCTTCATGTTCTAACTTTTCAATCACTCAAATCATATTTGCTTTCATAAATCTCGATAACAATTCTTTTCAAAAGGGATTTAATTTTTAATATGAAATTCAAGAGAACATATAAGGTATTAACCTATTTTTAGCGAATAAATTAAAGCCGTTGCTATTTCTTGTGATCACTAGAAATTTTTAGATGGATGAAATGCACGAAATAGCAATGCATTTTACATTATTTGTTTATTGTATCATTGCACACGTTGGAATTAAAAGGAAACAACCTCACACAGTGTGTATGACGTAGGTGTGTTTAACTTATTCTCACTTATTTTACATGCATGACTACGTAAAACAAAAATCACTAAATTATGTATTGAATCACAATACGTTAATTGGTAATCATCTACATATACAGTTGACCAATATGTAAGTGGTGTCGAGAATGCAATGAATCAATAGTACTTTAATATGGGGGAAAGACTAATAGCAGAATAGATTCCTCCTGGAACAAATTGTTTATGTTGTTGTCGATACAAGCCTTTATGTTCCCAGTTTTGTTGCTACTGATGTTTATGTTGTGTAGAGATTGTTTATTCTTTTAGTTTTCACTCATGCATGCATTGTTTATCATTTCATTCCTTTTAAAAGTAAATCGTTGGCAAACACCACTGTATAACTCTACAACCATTGATAATTAATTTGATTTGTGAATTGATCATTTATTGAATTTTTATCCAAGTACCAGGAGTACAAACTATAAATTGTTTAAGTCTCTTGTAAGTTTGCATGGGCTATTGAATCTTAGTTGGTACATTTGGAAATTTGATATGCAAAAATCTTATTCGTTTTCAAAAAATTTTGGTTATCGGTGAAGTTGCCATTTACGTAATTCCATGAAATAACCATAAAATACACATGTAAATTAAATGTTTAAAATGTGCAGTTGAAGTTTGGAGGTCAATGACATGGTTATCAATTTTGTTGAATTAGGTTATATTGAAAAACCTTTGCTTCTTTGTTCTATATATTAGCTATCAAATGGCTTCTAAACTAATGATATCCAGTGATATCTGGTGTTGCCCTTCCTCCTTGAGGTTGAGGGTTCAAGTCCTGTCGTGGACATAAGTGAATTTAAGGTGTAGTTTAGAAGTATGTTAGATTTGTCGTTTAAAAAAAAAAAAGTATCAAAATTTTGAATGTTCTTAATTATGTTTGTAATAAATGTGTTTATTTTTAACCTTTGTAGTATAAAATTTAATATTTCTTTTTGATTACCATGATATATAACTTATTTTTTTTATTTAATAGTAGTTTTTAAAAATTTGTGAAAAGAAGGCATCAAAATTGTATATAATTTCACGAGTATTAAAAACTGTTTTGTGAATAAGAAACTAATAACGGGCAATTATCTCATTTTGTCAAGATTAAAGTTGATATCATTCATCACAATTCAAATATTTAACATAATTAAGATATTTATTTGTGAATAAGAAACTAATTGCAATTATTTGGATAAGTTCAAAATTTTATAAAACAATTTATGAATTAAACATTATTGTTTGTTCAAGTTGTCATGATTGACTTTTTTCTAATGATAAAAATAAAATTTTGAAAATTTGAAAGTTACTTAATGAAATTATAGGGAAAATGTTGTAAAATTGACTAAGACATGTGTGTAACAATTTTGGAATGTTCCATTTAAAATTTACATACTTTTCGTTAATATTTTTTACCCACGGATCATTTTATGCTGATATATAAAACAAGAATAAGAAAATTCATAGATTCTTTTGTTTTATTAGTATGTAAGAATTTTTTTTCTGATAATATTTATGGGCAATATGTTGCATAAGATTTTTTTGTATGTAAATACTAGCTAAATAAGTATCACATGAATTATTGCTAAAATTAGTGACGATCAACATTCGGATGGCAACGATGATGGATTCTTTAGTTAGTGATGGTAAATTCATTAGTTAGTGATGGTAAAGGTGACTGATTCTTTATTTAGTGATGAGCAATCGCGTTTGTAAAATGGAGATAAATTTTGGATGACCCACTTTTGATCAATGAAGTTGTAGATTGGTGCAAGAGGAGAAAAAAGAAGATGATTTGTATGATAGACTACATGACTCAGTGAATTGCGAGTTTCTGTTCGAGATCATGTGTCTTGCTTTCTCTATTTTCTACTTCTCATTCTGATTTCTGAGTTATGATTCTTCTGTTCTGATTAATAAGATTGTTTTGATTTTTAAGTCACATGTCACCGAAAATCAGAAGAAGTTTGAGGTTTTCAGTTTCTTAATTGGGGTTCGGTGAGTCCGATTTCAGAATTCTCAAATTTCTTATTTTGTTTCCTTTTCTACTATTCTCTACTTCTCATACCAATTTATGAGTTCTGATCGATACGTTTCTTGTATTTCTGATTACCGAGCCTGTTTTTTATCTGGTTTCTGAATCACACGTCATCGAAAATTAAAAGAAGTTTGAGGTTTTTAAATTCTAAATTGGGATTAGGTGAGTTCGAATTCTGAATTCCTATATCTCCTATTCATTTTTTTCTCATTCCAATTTCTTATCTATATTCAATGGTATTTTTGTTTGTTTCAGGAGTTGGACGTCTCAATTTCTTTTATGTTGCTTTAGGTTAGATTCTTACTTTGTTGAGGCAGCAGAAGTTAGAAGCTATAATTTATTTCATTGTAGCTATTTTGGAAATGAATTGGAAAATTTTGTGTAACGCCAAGTTTATGGTATGTTCATTTAAAAACTTAATGTTTAAAATTCGGAATTTTTGGTAGCCATAGCATGGGGAATGAGTTCCCACGGTGTGGCCATGGTTTGAGGATGCACATGTCTTTAATGGATGTCACGGCGTGGCAGCATTGTACCAATGGTGTGGTAGTTGTTTAATGGCAACCCTAATTCTGGGGTTTGTGCCCTATTTAAGGGATGTGATGGCTAGGGTTTTGCACACCCTCAGCCTCAATCGCTTTCCTTAGTTCCTCACTGAAACCC